AATCTCTTTGACATTATTCTTTCTGAGGCTTCCTTAGCTCTTACAAATTTAAACTAGATAATGTACGTAGTGACTAAATAAATGTTGGCTTTACCCTTAGCCTTAAATGTGAAGATTTTTCCAGTATTCAGGGCATTAATTTTTCAGACTAATTTCCTATAAAATCCATTCAATCTTGAACTTCAAAAGTTATATGAATTACCCCTACATTTATATCTCTACTATTCAAAATTTTTTGAACTTAACTTACATACTTCCACCTCCCTGATGAGCATTTACATTCTGATATCATTTTGTATCATTTCAAACTCAACAGTTCTAAATTATAATTCTTCACTTTCCACTAAAGCTAACTCTAAACCACTTATTTCAAAAAATTGTTGCACTATCCTCAACAACCACTGATAAAAACTTTTCTATAATTATTTCCTACACTTGATCTTAGCCAAAGGCCATTATTTTACATTTTGACTCATTTTATCATTTCTCTTTTTATCTTCCTATGAATTTTTTATTGTCAAAATCCTAATTTATATTCTCTATTAATTCATCCATTGATTATTTTGATTGGCTGTTATGATATTCTTTTCCTTATATTCTACTTCCTCTATTTCATCCTGCATAAGACATCCTAAATTCCATTTTCATCATCAGTAATAAATTATAAGAGTCTCTATGAATTTCCAGTTTGTTAGTTTAATAGTTAAGGTACCATAAAATCCAGCTATAACCTGCCTTTGCATCTCCCTCCTCAAAAAATTGTGTTAGGTTCTAGATGACTCATCCATTGTTGATCAAACACACGTCATTCTAGCTGACTATATCATACTTCTACTTACCTTCTATTTACCTTCTACTTGCAACTCAATCTTCAAGCTCAGCTTAAACCTTTCATCCTCTCTGAAGCCTCCGGGTCACTCTTGCTTATGGGGAGCCTTCCCTGCTTTCTCATTTAATATTCACTGCTTTATCTTTACTTTTGAAATTTTTATCATCTTGGTTCATCCTGTAGTTTCAATTTTTGTTGAATGGAGTGCTCTATGAAGGTCAATTAAGTCACGTTGGTTGATTAAGTTGTTCAAATCTTTTATATGTTGCTGGTTCACTGTATGCTAGTTCTACAAATTATTAAGATAGGGATGTTAAGATCTTCAGCTATAACTGTGAATGTGTATAATATTGCATGAACATTTCAGATTATTATGTCATCTTCATCAATTGACCTTTTTATTATTATAAAATGAACTTTTTAATTCATGGCAGTATTTTTGCTCTTAAATATACTTTGTCAGATATATATAAGCCAGTTTTCCTTTGATTAATGTTAACATGGTATACCTCTTTCTTTTATTTTTAACCTTTTTTCTCTTTACATTAAAGTTTTTTATGTACAGATGCAGATAGATAGATAGATAGATAGATAGATAGATAGATAGCCACACTCTATAGCAATCTCTGGCACACAGACATAATCATGTATAAATTTTTCCAAACCCTGACCAGTGCGGCTCAGTTGGTTGAGAATCATTCTGCAAAGCAAAAGGTCACTGGCTTGATTCCCACTCAGATCACAATAGGTTCAGTCATCGTATATTTGGCATTGTATATTGGCATTGTATATTTTTTACTTCTATGAATTTTATTGTTTCAGTTCTAACTATTGTTTTAACCTTATTAGATACAGTTGATCAACCCAGTTCCTTATAACTCAGTCTTAATGATCTGATCCAGCCTATTAGCCATCAAACTCAGGTTATTGAAACCTGTACATCATATTTCTGTATCTTTATTTAAATCATGATAACACTATTTAGAAGGAAAAGACCAAGGCAAATATTTGAGGTACATAAAACATATGTTTTACCTCTGAATTACTAATTTCTGCTTCTTGCTGCAATCCATCTTCCTTCCCTAATATCAAGGATAACATCAATCTAATCTTTCATTATATCATCTTTGTCTATGCAATTCCTAATGACTAACAAAACATAGTCTATCTCTCTTACTTATACAGTTTTTTCAGCACTTGGGGATAGAAAATGAGTTAGTAGATTTGAAATCATTTAAAGCTGTTCTGTGAAATTGTGAAAAAGAAAAGTTTAATTACCAGCTAACCCATAAACAACTTTTCAGATTGCTTCTTGAATAGATTGTAAAAAAATAAATGAGGTTTAAAGCTTTACTTCTTGCATGTTATTAAGACTGAGAAATGGAAAAACTTGCCAAATTTCACAAGATAGTCAGTAACAAAGTCTGGAGCTCTAATTAGAATTCTGAATTTTTAGAAGCAACTCAATGTATATGTATTGAGTCAGAAAAGGAATTCTGTCTGCTATACTGGTGTACGTCTAGTTGTTAACTACATCACGTTGATTTACATATGTCAAGATGACCATGAAAATGAGTTCATTAGCTCTTTGAAGGCAGAAACTATCTCAATTACTTTTCCATGTCCCCTCACAGACCATCCAAAGTGTTAGACACATGGTAGTTTGATTTTTAAATTGAGTTTTTTAATTATTAGAAATCAGCTAAAGAGGACAAGAATTTTATTAAATACTTACACTGTGTGAAATGAAGCAGAAGACATCCTAAATTAATTCACGAGGACCTGAAATCATTCCACTGTATGTTAAATAACACATACAGAAAGATTGGATTCCTTTAACTAAAGCACACAACAAACCACATATCACAAGCACTTTAATTACACATCTGTACTTTTATCCTATATTGACATTTTAATTTTTTTAAACCCTCTTCGTGATGACTAGTTTGAGTTTGAAATTGACAGGCATATAGAAGAGGAAAATGCTTTTTTATTGTGTTGTTTTGTTTTTGGCATAGACCTCAGGTTTTTATAGCCCTATCGTATTTTAATCATCATCGGTTGATTTCTTCCAAAGCTTATATTATACTATGATTGGAAACATTTAAGTATAAAAAAACTTGATATAAAATTCTCATAAATTATTCATCAAAAATATAATAACCTGTTAAATATAATTAAGTTTTGAATTAATTTGTAGAAGTTTCCAAAGTGTCTGATGTTTTTAAACCAGTATTTGATCACATTCCTGATAAAATTTGACCTAGAGGTGTTCTTCATCTGAGTCTGACAGTTTCCTTCAGCAGTCTTTGCAGAGTCAGTATGAGGCAGTGGTTAAGAGCATAGAGGTCTTACAGAGAAATCTTTTCAATAAAGTAAAAACAATAACACTGGCTCAAGGATTATTTAAAGAGAGTGTTTTACACTAAGTATACACTCACTATGCAGTAGCTATTATTGTTACTATGTATGAAAAAATGTCTTCCTCATATACTCCTGGAAAAATACTGAAGGGTTTCTAGTATATCCTACAATATGAGATGGTTTTATTTAATTTCTAAACAGTTTATATTGGGCTTTATTTTTATACCAACATGTTACTGTTTACTTTTATTTTTCTTTGTTTTGTTAAGTAAACCATGTTCTCAACATGCTATCATTCACTGACCAAAAGAACAAAAGTGGCACTGAAAACCATTCTGTGTGCAATCCAGAGAAAAAAAAATGGTAGAAAATTGGTATTTTTAATATATGTCTAGGCCTAAAGCAATACCATTTACAAACCAACATTGTGAACAAAGACTTACTGATATACATACACGCATTTTAAGTTTTATAATCTAAAATAATAACAAAAGCCAAGAATCCCTAATATTTCATTCCTCAATAGCAGAAGAAGTCTCTCTACCAGTGAATGCAAAGGATATCCTAAGGCCTTCATTTCAAATCTTTTAAAAAAGTCATGTCTTTTTAAACCTAAAAAAAATTATTCCCACATCTGTATGACACATTGTTTCCTCTGTGGGAAGGACGTGCTAATATGGATCCTGCTCCCTGCCTCCACGCAAAAGTTCCCATGAAGCACTTCTTCATGGGAACATTGGTATGTTCATTTCAGCATAGATTTAGTGGCCACTCTCTACCAAATACCTTGTTAGAGACAGGATGTCGACAGAAAAAGAAAGAAAAAAAGTGCTGTAAAAGAAAGACATGGCTATGAAAGAAAAGAATAAGATAAAGGAAAGCCCAGTTTCGAATAGGGATTTTAAATTTTTAACTGGAGATTTAGAAACATTGGAATTTGAGGAGAAAGGAACTGAGTGCGGGGGAGGGGTAGTAGGGTACCCAGTAACCAAAGGGGCAAAGGCGGAAGGAGATGTGGGGGAGGGAGGCATGGGAAAGAATTTCTAATCTCATAAGGAAGATAACACACATAGAACTATTTTTAAAATATAGAAAATGATAAATATTTTAACAGAAAATCTAGAAGATATATAACCCAAAGTTAGTATAAGCAACAGAGTAAAGTTTACAGGACTTCATACTGTCTTCTGAGCAAAGTAAAAATATTAGCCAGAGTTTTGGAAGAAAGTAGCATTGTTGCTTGACTTCAGTCCACTGTAAATAAGAAAGCTCTGTGACTCAGGAAACTTCTCATTGCTCAGAGTGTTAACTCTGTATCTTGAAGCCTTATGACTATTCAGGTACTGTGTAAAGTCATTTTTAATTAAATTTTGACTTAAAATGTAATATTATATAGTATACATATGCATATCATTGAATGGTACACCTTATTTTACATGTAAACTTAAGTGTTTTTTAAGTGGTACACTATCCAGAGTCAATTAATTATTGTTTCTGCCTGTGGCTTGTATTCAGCTCTTGAGCATTTCTGTCAAAAATGCAATTTTAGTTTTGACTGTAAAAAAATAAATTAACTTAATGGACTTTCAAATATCGTTCCCTTACATAACAATTTTATTCTATTTAACTGCACTTGAATTATTTCTACACAATGATGTATTTCTTTTTTATTGTTTTCTTATTTTCCGATAATCAGAGCGATGGTAATAAATCTTGATCCTGCCTTTGGTGTAGATGTTTAGTAGCTCCATATTTGTTTTCTTTGGTAGCAACATGCATTCATATTTATGATCCTTTTCCTTTGCAGCATCTCCCAGACGGCTCCATGCCCAGTGCACATGCTGAGTTTTATCTTTTACCACATCCCAGTGAGGTCCGTAGGAGGAAAACAAAATCTGTTTCAAAATGTACCGACCCCACATACAATGAAATTGTAAGTGTGATTCATCTCTTGTTCAGTCGTTTTGTATTTTTCTTACATTTTTCAGCCTAACAACCAAATATGGAAAATGTGCAGTAATTGGCAACATTTTTCCATAAACAGTAGACATTCCCCAAAAATAGCCACTGGGTGCCGATCACTATTCTAGATGCTATGGGAACTGGAAAATACAGATACTGCCTTCAAAGTGTTCATGAACCAACTGTGGCTACCCTCCAGTAAGAGCCTAAGACCATATAGCATTTACTTCATGTACTAATATTACCATCTGACTTCATCTTATTTTCTCTAATTTTACTTTCCTTTACCTGGTTTTCCTTGCCTAACAGTCTTATCATAGTCTAACCTGTATAGAAAAACACATTTTGTAAAATCACATTTGAAAAACCTAAAAAAAAGTACAAAATACAAATTAAATTACAGTTAATTTATATGAGATACAGCCATTTCATCTGTATTATACAATTTGAATATGTAAACCCCTACTTCTGAGGCAAATCCTACATTTATTCTCAATTCCTTCTTTCCTGTCTCTCTGTACCTTGCTCAGTTGACAACTAGCTCTTCTTAAGGCTGTCTCATCCATTGAACCCTTGACTCAGAAATCTTAAAAAAATAATAATAAAACCTTCTCAACTCGATGTTTCCAAAGCATCCCATTTTTCTTTCCCTCCTTGTCATCTCCAAACTTTTCCAGAATTAACATTTCCTGCACTCACTTGATCACTTCCTCTTCACCCTTTCAATCCTTTGCAGTGTGAATTCTGACTTTAGTTCATGGCGCTTTATTCAAGTGGCACCTACAGACAATCGCTGAATCCCATGAGCCCTCAGGCTCTGCTCTCCTGAAGTTACTCTGCAACACTGTTGACTTTGCCTTTTTTCTTGCCAACTCCCTTTGTTTCTTGAGTCCAACCTTTTCTTAATTCTTTTCTATCCTCTCTAACCACTTCCTCATTTTTTATCTTCATTCTTTGTCCTAAAATAGTGTTGTTTATTGTAGTTCTGCCATCTGTTTACCCTTATCTCTTCTTGATATTTATTCTCTCAGATTATCTTGTGTTCACTTATCGCCTATATTTAGTTTGCATTTGAATCTCTTCCTCAAGCCCTGGCTTCTCTCCTAACCTTTTGACCGCACTTCTGCCTCATCACTGAAGACCTCATTGGGATGCCTCCTAGGTACTTTTAAACCTGGCTTTCCTCCTCTGTTAACCATCTCAGATGATAACTTCTAATGCTATCTCCCAGTGTTTCAATCACATGCCCAGATACTCACGTTTGATGGGTTCTACTTATGTGACTTCCTGCCTCTTAAATCTATCACCTCCTCGTGGTTCCGTTACCTTTCTTTGTTTGAGGTTCTTGTGACTCTGGCTACCATGGTGGCCTTCTAACTGACTCCTGCCTTTGGGTTTTTGATTAAATCTTTTATATTTCAACCTAAAATGTCTTTCAAAACCCAGTTATATTGATCAGTCTCCTGTTCAATTTTTTTAAGTCTCTCACTGACTACTCTACAATGTCAGAACCCTAAACATGACATTCATAGCCTTTAAAACTTGTCTCGTTAATTTTCTTAATTTGTTTCTTGGAACATGGCTTTAAAAAATGTTTGGGGATAATTATAGATTCACATGTAGTTGGAAGAAAAAATACAGAAAGAATTCAAATACCCTTCAACCACTTTCCCCCAAATGGTAACATCTTTCATGACCACAGTTCAGTATCACAACCAGGAAGTTGATGTTAATGCAGTACTAACCTTATTTAGATTTAACCAGTTTCACATGTGCTCTTGTATATGTGTGTATGCATGTATTTAAGTGTATGTGTGTGTTTAGGTCTATGCATTTTCATCACATGTATAGATTTTTGAGGACACCAGCACAGTCAAGATGCAAAACAGTTCCATCACAAAAATTTCTGGTGCTAATATGTCACACCATATATAACATATATGCATGGTATGTTATAATATGTTATACTGTATTATAGCCAGAGACACGTCCCTCCTTCCAACACAACCTTGCGAGCTACTGGCAACCACTAATCTGTTCTCCACCTCTATGTTTTTGTCTTATATTACATAAATCGAATCATTCAGTTTGGAAGATTTTGAGATTGGATTTTTTTTTTGCTTACTCTAATTTCCTAGAGATGCATCCAAGTAGCTGCATCTATTAACAATTTATTCCTTTTCACTGCTGAGTACTAGTCATGGACAGCTTTTTTACTGTTCACACATTAGAGCACATCTGGGTTATCTCTGGTTTGGGATTATTGCAAACAAAGCCGTGTAAATATTAATGTATAGGTTTTTGTGTGAGCCTAAGCTGTAATTGCTCTAGGATAAGAGTTCGAGAGTGTAATTACTGGGGTACATAGTAATGGCATATTTAGTTTTGTAAGAAGCTACCATACTCTTTCTCTGTACCAGTTACACTCCCACCAGCAGTGTGTGAGTGATCCAGTAAAACTTCATTTTTGCTAGCATCTGGTGTTACCACTGTTTTTTATTTATGTTTAATAGGCATAGAGTGATATCTTGCTGTTTTAATTTTTATTTACATAATAATAAATGATGTCATGCCTCTTTTCATGTGCGTATTTACCATTCGTATACCCTCTTTACTGAAAAGTCTTTGCTCGTTTTTCATTGGATAGTTTGCACTTTACTGTTAAGTTTTGACAGTTCTTTATATATTCCAGATACTAATCCTTCACCAGATATTTGGTTTGCAAATATTTTCCCCCATTCTCTAGCTGGTTTTTTCATCTTTTTCTCAGGGCTTTTCACAGAGTAAAAGTTTTCATTTTGATGAAGGTACAATTTATCAATTTTCTTTTTATAGATTGTGCATTTGGTATCAAGCCTAAGAACTCCTCACCTAGCACTAAGTCCTACAGATTTTCTCCTATATATTTTCTTAATATTTTATAGTTTAAATTTTACATTAAGTATTTGAGTTATTTATTATTCACTTTGAGTTAACTTTTAAAATAAAGTATGAGGTTTGGGTTAGGGTTTGCTTTTTAGTTTATGAATTCCCAATTCTAGCATCCTTTGTTGGGAAGGCAATTCTTCATTGAATATTTTTTGCACCTTTGTCAATAATTGAGAGTTCAAGCCCATTTATTGTCCCATACTTAGCCATATTCTCAAGTCACATCAGACAGCTTGCCATCTTCTGAATGGTCCCAAAGATATCAGTGACGAAGCACAGGCAGCATTCAGCCTCTCTGTTCTTCACTGCTGACTGTGCGGCTCACTTCCCTCGCGGACATCACGAACCACTCTCTCCTCCTGGACTCTTATACCACACTTAGCATCTTCTACTTATTCCTTAGTCATACACATTTTTTTCTGATAGTGTGTTATAAACATTTTGGGGACAAGCAAATGTCTTATACTTCTTGGCATCTTTAAAATCTAGTTACTTCTATAAAGACTTGTGAAATTGAATATTTGGGGTAGTTTTACAAGTGATACTTTGTGTTTGTGTACAGAACATGAAACCATAACCATGTATGTGTGTGTAAGTATATTCATGTATATATGTATATATAGAGAGGGGGGGAGGTTAATACTTCTTCAATGAGGTAAGGAAAAGTGGTTTGACATTTTATTATTTGTCATCATGTCGGCAGCTGAGATGTACAACTCCCAACAATATCATGAGTTTCTATACTTTCTGAGTGTAAGACCCCCTTCTCCAATATCAACAACCTTCTCGGACTCAGTGAGTGGTTCAGCACATCGTGACCAAAAGTCGTTAACAATTCAGGAGAGTTTAAATAAACTTGTGTTTTAATTATCTCAAGCTTTATGTGATTTTAAAAGTAGTAGTAAATTTGCATGCATGGAGATTATGTGCTTGTTATGTCTGTAACTTTTCCGAGGGCTTGTAATAATGTTGGGCCTGCCCACGTGCGTGGCGCACTGACTAAAAATCACTGCAGTGATCTCTCCTTCGGTCCATGCTTACAGCATAAATACACCCTGTTTCTATTTGAGCACATGTAAAATAGTTTTCAAGAGTGTATTCTGTACAGCAGACTCCGACTTACCCACAGTCCAAATTTTTGGAAATGTGAATTAATGTGCAGATAAGTAACTATTTTGATAGTAATGATCATCATATAAGCAAGTTTGGCAGGAAAACTGATTCAATTTAGAAAGCCATGAGGGAAAAAAGGGTTATAATATTTTTATTTTCCCCCAAATGCTCCATTTCTCTATTAATACAGCAAAAATATTTATATTGAGAAATGCAAAAAAGTACTGCCCACCAGTTTTAACTCTGGTTTTCCTTGATCTTGACCTCAGCTGTGATGTAAGCCCTCAGTTCTGTGCCAGACCTCTCAGCCATTTCTGCCCGTCCTCAGTAACACTGTATATGTTTCTAGGGAGCGCAGTGAATTAGCACATGGCATCTACCTTGTTCTGAACTTCTCCCCTGCTTGGACTCCGGAGGACCCCTACATGGGCCACTCACCACGCCCGGGATTTCTCAGCTGCCAAAGCCGTGCACTGCCCTGGGAAGTGGGAGAGGATGGCCTCGGTCTTCTTTTCATATAAATCTCTTAGAGGAACACAAAGGGGTTATTACATTGCACCACCAATGTCTTACAAGGTTCTTCATGAAAATAGTTCTTTCCATTTTTATTCATGGACTTCTCCCTCCCTAAAACCCAGACCTGAGAAAGGCTGGGTCAGGGACATTGCCAAGTGTCCCTTTAGTATCCACCCTTCAGATACTGGAACTTTCATACAGAGCCAGCCTTGTCTATTTGACACTCTTAAGCTTTACCAATAGTCTCCCTGAAAAAACCCCCATCATACATGAATCCCAGTGGTAGACAAGGCTGGGTGGGCCAGGGCTGGTGGGAAGAACGGCACTGCAGCTTTTCAGAAGCAGAGCTAGGATTCTAGCTCCAAAACCTCTGCTCTTTCCACTCCACTACCTTCAGCATCTGGTTAAAATCCATCACTTTTTTAAAGGATTCAAAAGAAATACAGATTCTATCTTATAATAAAATTATCTTAGTACAGTCAATGTATTTTTTGCTTTGGATTCCTCTCTTAGATACTATCCTATTATAAAGCAAGAAGGGGAATGAGAAAGGATAGAACATAAACTTTCTGTGTTTTACATACCTTAAAATATTTGCCAGAATGTGCACAAATATCTAGCATAACACTAGGGATATGATACACTCAGTAAACTATAGTTACCATTATCACCATGGTCTGCTCATTTGCTATTCAAAACAGAAAAATTCTGCTTTAAACAGACACTGAGACCCTGAGGTCAAACAGTTCTACCAGGGCCACACAACCAGATTTCAGATTCCAAAGTGAGTGATTACAAAGCCCACACAGATCCAGCTTAAACTCGGCTCTATTATCCCTCCCTCTCTGCAGAGCAAAGTTCCTTTCTCAATGGCTTTGAACTCTCCCCCCTTCATTACCCCACCTCCTCCCTCTGCTCCCCACCAGCACTAGACACACTCAGTTCCCATAGTATCATTCTCCCATTGCAATCATAAAATACACTTTAGAACTATTTACTAGACCCTGGTGCCAAATATGACACGATGAGTGCCTATATATGTCAATAGATATTAATTACTTTAGACAATGTTTTTCTGCTTGATACAACAATTTCAAACCCACAAATCCAACATTTGTCAGAAGGCAGTGAAGACTCGGCTCACACCTGTGGGTGAAAAGTTCCATAGAGTGAAATTGGAAGAGCTGTGCAGTTTGGGCCTGGGTATGAAGGTCAAACACAGATGACAGAATTTGGTGAAAATGTCTCAAAGAATATTATGATTTGTGTACTTCTCTAGCATTACCCACTAATGATTCATTGCACAGTAAGAAAGAATGCCTATTTTTAAAATAATGTTGTGGGTGCAGTTAGAGATGAACAGATATATGTCATCTACACTGTGCAATGATTGCATGCTTATAAAACAAACCACTTTGTAAAAATTATGCATAATGAAGCATAAGGTAGAAAATCCATAAAGTGATATAAACTTTAGAGTTCAAATGTTTGTATTTTAACCAAGAAGGCAACTTATTTATAAAGTTACTTCTTGAGAACGTCAATTTGCCAAATACCTAGGAGATTCTAGTCTATCTTAAAGTGTTGTCTCAACTAATCCAAAATTCCAAGAAACACTGTTCTTTTGTGTGCGTATAATGGATCTTATTCAGCTATAATTTATTAGTGTTTAATATATACCAGGCTTTGTGGTAAGGCTTGTATTCATTATCTCACTTCATTCTGCCCCACAATGTTAAAAGATAAATATTATAATCACCATTATGCAAATAAGAGAACATATAATTGACAACAGATTCATGTAAGTATTAATAATGGATATATTTATTTTAAAGTTACATCTTTAAGGCCTATTAATATGATTCACAAAGTTCTTAAGCCAGACCTCCCAAGGACCTAAGGCTTAGAGTTATTCCACTGTTTGACTTCACATACAGTAACACTTTGAAGACCCCTTGGCCCATTTCTCTATAAAATAGGAGATGAATTTATCTGCTGAAAGTGTTGTTCAAGGGAAATGGCAACTATTTAGACAGTTCAAAACGGCCACTAGGCAGAAAGGAAAAGGAGTTTACTTTGAAGTCCTAGAAAGGTAAGAATCCAGGAGGAAAGAATGGTTCAGAGAGTCCATGCTGGGCGTCCACTGCCGATAAAAAGCATGAATTACAGTGGAAGGATTTTGAGATTTTTTTTAGGCAGCTCTTCAGTTCCCTTATCACCCCCAGGGAGCACAGTGGATGAAATGAGATTACTTGAATGAGCAGCCCTAGGAAACCGGAAAGACAATCTCCTGTCCTGAGTGGGAATAAGACTCTAAAAAAGGAAGTAGCCAGGGGCTGTTGCATAAAAGCAGGGTAGGCGGGGTTAACACACTCTGTATTGGATCTCACATCCTTGATGGAATTATTTACTGGACCAGTGAGTTGTTGTTCAGAGCAGCTAACAGACTTTGGACAGAATTTCATTAATAAATTAATGGCTCATAAATGACAGGTGAGTCCCAGTATCATGGACCAGAAACCACATCCATACACATGGAGGAAGCCACACAGTCACTCCAATGATTTCCCCCTAAGTTGTTTTCTCTGCTGCTTTTTTGCATGTACAGGAAATGCTTTTTTCTATCTTGTAGCTTGTTATACAAAGCAAGTAAGTTTGAAGCAGCGTATGAAACTGCTTTTCTAAATGTGTTTAAGGAGTTTCCCTGAGTAGCACATTGGATATACGCACAGCTCCCCCCTCCCTTCATGATGCATAACTAGCTTCTTGAGAGTACTGGGCTTTCAGTCTCATTACCGCAGCAGGCAGCCAGGATACTCTCTGTGACTTAACTTACTTCCTGGATATTATAAAACACAGTTAAACATATTTCTTTTTTTTTTAATTTTATTTAGTTATTTTTTCAAGTACAGTTTTTTGTCTATTTTTCCCATCCCAGCCTCCCCTGCCCCTTACTCCCCACCTCCCTCCCATTTCCTCCCCCCTTAGTTCTCGTCCCTGTGTCCTTCCTATTTGTTCCTCCAAATCCCTCCCCCTTTTTCCCCTTAACTTCCCTTCCTTCTCCCCTCTGGTCACTATCCCCTTGTTCTCTATTTCAGTGTCTTTGTTTTTTTGGGTTTTTTTTTTCTGCTTACTTGTTTGTTTTGTTGTTTAGCTTCCTGTTAAAGGTGAGATCATATGGTATTTGTCTTTCAGCACCTGGCCTATTTCACTCAGCATAATGCTTTCCAGTTCCATCCATGTTGTTGCAAAGGGTAGTAGCTCCTTCTTTCTCTCTGCAGCATAGAATTCCATTGTGTATATGTACCACAATTTTTGGATCCATTCATTTACTGATGGGCACCTAGGTTGCTTCCAACTCTTGGCTATTGTAAATTGTGCTGCTATGAACATTGTGGTGCATAGAAAAATAGTTACATGACTAGTAAGTGAAAAAGGGCAAGATACAAAACTGTATATACGGCTTAATTACAACTTAGATTCATAAAATGGGATTATTTATAGACAACAAAAGACACATGAGAATGTTCTGTAATTATCTCCCGATGGTACAAATATAAATATTTGCTTTCTCCTTTTGTTCTTTTTTGTTTTGTCAACACTTTCATTAATGAGCATGTATTTCCATAATTAAAAATAAAGCAATTTTAAATAAATTAACCACAGAGTGACTTCTTCACATGGAGAAACAAATATTGCTGTACTGCATTAAAATAGCACAAGAAAGTCATGGAAACTGGTCTGCTTTCCTCACTAGCCTTCACCAAAGAAAGATAGTGTTCAAGTTTGAGTGCTGCACCAAAAATTCAAGGACAGTTAAAAGGTGAAGTGTACTTAAATTTCTTCCTAGAGCATGATTTGCCATCTTATTAAATGTGGGATGGATAATTATTAATGAAATCAGAGTGTGTTCTAAGCTTCTTATAAAAATATTCTTTCACTAAACCTCATTATTGTAGCAGAATCTTTTGCTTTTTAGAATAAGAGTTAGAAATGAAGGATTCTACCAACATTGACCAATCCATTCCAAAATACAAGATATTAGCAGCTAAACATTTATATGAAAAACAATATTTTAAATGGTGCATGTAAGCATATCTGATTTATATTTTCATCATTCCTTCCCTTTCAGGTGGTATATGATGAAGTCACAGAGCTCCAAGGACAAGTCTTAATGCTGATTGTGAAGAGCAAAACCACATTCGTGGGAGCAATTAACATCCAACTTTGTAGCGTCCCACTCGATAAAGAAAAATGGTACTCACTAGGAAACAGTATAATTTGACCACTGCTGTGAAAATGTGCATTATTCATTAACTGCTTGTGTTTTTTCACTTCTGGGCATCTCTATCATGAGCAGGACATTTTTTGTTGTGAAAGATACTCTAGTATATTAAGGGCACAAGAAAAAGAAACCAGAATCAATCTTCTATAATCTGTTAGTCTCTATCAGGATTCCACTCTTTTTAATTCTTTCTCCTTAAATGGAATGCCATTTGTACATAATTCAATATGTAAAGTAATATAGGACCATTCATTTAAAGCATTTTTTAAACCAAACATAAGTTCACACTTTGTTTTAATCATGTGCCTAGTTAAAAGCAATACTTTTCATGTGTTTTCTAAGAAACAGGAAAATAAATAAATCTCATTAATTTAAGACATAATTATATCTGCAATAGATTTTTAAATTTGAATTATGTCTGGTTCTTTTACCTAGAGAGACAGATCAGATCAAATATTGCTACAACCAATTTCCAAGATGTTACTGCCTATTTTGTCTTCTAGGATTTTTATAGTTTTGAATCTTACATTTAAGTCTTTAATCTATTTAGAATTTATTCTTGTGTGTGGTGTGACAAGGTGGTTGATGTAGTTTCATTTTTCTGCATGTATCTGTCCAGTTTCCCAACGCCATTTATTGAATAAACTCTCTTTAGCCCACTGTATGTGCTTGCTTCCTCTGTCAATATTGACTGTAAAGGTGTGGGCTTTTTCTGGGCTCTCTATTCTGTCCCATTGTCTGTATGGCTGTTTTCATGCCCGTGCCATGTTGTTTGCATTACTGTGACCTTAAAGTATAGTTTGATATTAGGTAGTGTGATTCCTCCAACTTTGTTCTTCCTTCTCAAGATCATTGTTGCTATTCAGGGCCTTTTGCAGTTCTATATAATTTTTTGAAATATTTGTTCTAGTTCTGTGAAATACATCATTGGTGTCTTGATAGGAATTGCATTGAATCTATAGATTTCTGTGGGTGGTATGGACATTTTAATGATGTTAATTCTGCCTATTTGTGCACATGGTAAAACTTACTTGTATCTTCTTCGATTACTTTCTTCAGTGTCTTATAATTTCCAATAGAGGTATTTTGTATCCTTGGTTAAATTTACTCCGAGGTATTTTATTATTATGATGCAATTGTAAAAGGTATTATTTTCTTAGGTTCCCTTTCTGAGAGGTCATTTTTGATGTATATAAATGCAGCTGATTTCTGGATATCTACTTTGTATCCTACTACTTTACTGAATTCAAGATCAGGTCTACGAGTTTTTTTGGTAAAATCTTTAGGCTTCTCTATATACAGTATCATGTCATTTTCATGCTTGTCTGACAATTGAAATCACATGTATGTAGTCAAACAGGTGGAATCCTGGATGCAGATGGTGGCTTTATGTGTCTTCCTATTCATGAACACGGTGAGTGTTTCCACTTATTTGTAACTTCTTCAAGTTTTTTCTTCAGTGCTTCATAATTTTCTAAGTTTAGGTCTTTTATAACCTTGAAGAGACTTATTCCTAGGTATTTTATTTATTTTGATGCAACTGCAAAATGGTAATGTTTTCTTAGTTTCCCTCTCTCACAGTTCATTTTTGGTGCATATAAATACAACTAATTTCAGTATATTAACTTTTTGTTCCGCTAGCTTAGTGAATTCAATGATCAGTTCTAGCAGGGTTTTTTGTAGCATCTTTAGGGTTCTCTATGGAGAGTATCATGTGACTTTCACATACACTCACCTGCTTGTTGAAATCATATGTATGTAGTCAGGGGGAATCCTGGATGTAGACGGTTGCTCCACGTGTCTCAGGTGAGAGGACCCCTGAGGTCCTTATTTGTTGGCACCCACTTGAGCAGCTGCTCTGCTTCCCTCATGTATGTGGACCAGGAATGGTGGATCCTACCTCCTCTCCATGGATATTAGTGTTTTTACCAGTTCCTGGCCGTTTCTTTAGTGCTCTGATGGGTAGTTGGGAAAGCACATCTGTGGAACATTGTGCAAGAACTTCTGTGGGGTAGCCCCCTAGGGTGAGCCCTGCCCGGTGGAGGTGAGCACCTGTGAGACGCGCACAGGTCCTGCACACTGTCCTCCCAGAGGAGGCGCCTTTCCCTTTTTCTCTGCAGGGGTCTGCAGGGGCCTCTGCTTCCTCCCTCTGTGCCCAGGGCTGGTTGCTCTAGAACAGGAGCCTGCCAGTCAAATGGGTACAGTGCTCTCTCCCAACTGTTGACAGTGCGTGGGTCCCCATCGGGCAGATCAGGAACCTCTGACAGGTAGTGGCATGAGCACTGCCTCTTGCTGGAAGTGCATATGCTTGTCCCTTGTTCCTTTGGAAAACACAGACTCTCAAGAGTTTGCTGTACCACAGGGATGTTGAAACTTTCCTTGGCCTTGGGTTGTAAGAAAAGCTTTCCAGCTTGTGGTTTGTCTTTTCAGATTTCTGCATTTTTCTCTTTTTTTGTTTGGTTTTGGGCACAGAATGAAGCAGCTGTTTTCTGACTAGCCTGTGGTTCTGGTGCACACTTAGCACAGCAGCCTCGACCCAGAGATTGTGCCTGCACTCACAAAAAGGGCTTTTGTAAACATCTGATCTCTAATGTCTCTGGGATTTCCTTTCCAAATAACAAAAATGCTATTTCAGATATAAACAAACACACATATGTGGGCAGACACAGAAAGCATCATGAAGGTACGTCATGCTCAGGAATGGCACAATTTACAATATAAACAGTAACTTTTATTTGTAATTTAAAATAAATCACACCCTGGGAAAAATGAAGGATAAAAAGAGAAAAAGGAAAAGTTAAACCTCCTGAAACCCCTCAAATAATACAAACAAAATTTAAAAGAAAACTGAATCACACCATGGAGAAAAAAACATAGCAATAAAAGAAAATGGTTAAAGAATGGAGAGAAGCAGATTGTGACAGGTGAGGGAGAGCAGGGTCAACACGTGGCTCCAGAGCTGACCCTGATGCATTTTCCAGGGATGGCCCCTCCTCTGGGGCAGGAACCAGAGCAGGATCTAGGGAGGCAGTCACAGGGGGCTTCAGTCAGGTCAGTCTATGTCTCAAGCCATGACCTCAAAAGAGGCAAGGATGATCGTGTTTTATACTGAGACCTCCACTGGATCTGGACTCAGGCTAGACACCTGTGGCCCTTGTCACAGAGGACCCCAGAGGTAACACGGGGAGGCCCAGGGTGGTTTTCTTAGGGCCAGTCCACCACTCAGATCACACCTGAGCAGCCCTAAGACACCTACGTGTGTGTGTGTGTGTGTGTGTGTGTGTGTGTGTGTATGAGAGCCTGATGAGAACACTGATGGGTCACTCATGCTCAGGTAAAGCCTGGCGGGGTGGATGTGGGCCATGGATGGCCCTCTGCACGAGGTTGCTGCTGAGTCCTGGAGGTGAATCTCACTTTCTTGGTGGTGGACTGTGCAAACACGGGGCAGGGCTTAACGATGGAGCTGAAAGACCAGTGGGAAGAAGCACCAGTGAATAGGGTCGGGGAGGGCTAGAGGCCTCCCAACTGGTTACCAGCCACTGTCATTGCAGACTTCACCACTGGATATACAAAATGAGGGGATGGAGGCTGCCATCATGGGTGATAGCCATCAACCTGGAGAACCAGATCCCTCCATCAAACACTATATGCCTCAGATGTCAAAGGCTTGCAGGCATCGTGGAAGAAAAACAAAGTTTTGGACATAGGAGGAGCATGCTACTGGCCCTCCTGATTTGAAAAAGGAACTAGAGACACAACAGACCCGGTCCCAAGGTTTGAGTTGGGGCAAGGTCCTTGAGTGAAGGAGAAGGAGTGGGTGGGAAGCTAAACAGAAAGAGTAGGTGCCAGACACACAACGAGTCGCCGAGCCAATGTGAGGGGACAAGGAAACCTCAGCCTAGGAAAGCTGCTGGAATGTCTGAGGCTTTGTGTCCTGGAGGGACAATATCACTAGGAGCCACTAGAAATGTTGAGGCTGGGTTAGGAGTTGGAGCAGCCATTGGGATATAAGCATGCAAGTAACAAACTCTCCTCTGGCAACCACAGGGTCTGAATCCAATGAGACGCCAGAGAGCGGAGAACTCAGCCTCGTCAGCTCTGGTGAGGGTCACGGTGACCCACCCAGCCAGGACTCAGGCGAAACCTCCACAGTGGTATGCGGTCGGCCTCCTGGGGATCCAGGAGCCTCCAAGAACAATGATGGGAGTGAGAACCAAAACTCGCTAGGGCGCCGCAGTCCCAAGAAGAAACCCTCTGTGGCAGAGGAAAGGCGGGCCTCTTTAGCTCCTGAGGCTACAGAAGGAGTGAGGACCAAGTGGGAGTCCAGGGCAAAAGGTAAGAGTTGGGGTGAGGTCCCTGTAAAATATGGAAGGAGTTGAATGGATAGCCAGCGTCCTAGGAAGAACATGTGCCAGACCCAAAGTAGGAACATCAAGAGGCAGGCAGTGGCAAGGACAGACCTCAGCGTAAGAAAGCTGCTGGAATGTCAGAGGTTTCTGGTCCTTTAGGGACAATATCACAAGACGTCACTAGGAAGGTTCTGGGTGTGTTAGAAGTGTGAGGAGCCATTGGGACAGAAGTATGCAAGCCATAACCTCCTCTTTTGCAACCACAGAGCCTAGACACAATGAGCCGCCGGAGAAGGAAGGAACCAGCACTGTCAGCACTGGTGAGAGCCAGGGTGAACCATCCACCCAGGGCTCACTCGAGACCTCCACGGTGGTATGCGGTCAGCCTCCTGGGGATCCAGGTGTTTCCAGTAACCCGGACGTGCCGGAGACCTGCAAGTCCCGGAGGCAGCTTCTCAGAAAGGAGCCCTCTGTGGCAGGGGGGAGCAGACCACTTTCCCTCCTGACGCCATAGGAGGAGAGAGGGACAAGTGGGAGTGTGGGATGAAAGGTGTGGGTCAGGGCGAGGTTCCTGTGGACTATGGAAGGAGTGGCTGCGAGGCCAGATTACTGGGAAGAAAAGGTGCCACACGGTCCGCAGGAGCCTCAGGTGGGGGCCAGTGGCAAGGACAGAACTCAGCATATGAAAGCTGCTGGAATGTCTGAGGCGTTGTGTCCTTTAGGGGAAATATCACAAGAAGTCACTAGGAAGGTTCTGGGGGTGTTAGAAGTTGGAGGAGCCATTTGACCATAAGCATGCAAGAGATAACCTCTCTGCTCACAACCACAGTGCAGGGACACCATGAGACAGAGGAGAAGGACCAACCCAGCCCCATGAGCCCTCGTGAGGACCTAGGTAAACCATCTACCCAGGCCTCATGGGAGAGCTCTGCAGTGGTGTGCGGTCAGAGTCCTGGGGATCCAGGAGCCTGTAGTAACTGGGACGTGCCCAACACCTGCAAGTTGCTGGGAGGCGTTGCAAGAAGAAGTCCTCTGTGGCAGAAGGTGAGCAGGACACTTCCTGTCCTAAAGCCAGAGGAAGAGTGACAGATAGAAGGGAGTCCAGGGTGAAAGGGTTGTAGTGAAGACAGTTCCTTGTTGAATATGGAAGGAGTGACTGACTGAGAGGCCATCGTACTGGGAAGAACACCTGCCAGAACGACAGCAGGAGCCCCAGGTGGTGGGCAGTGCCAAGGACAGACCTAAGCCTAAGAAAGGTACTGAAATGTCTGAGGCTTTGTGTTCTTCGGGGGCAATATGACAAGAAGTCACTAGGAAGTTCTGAGTGTGTTAGAAGTTGGAGGAGCCATTTGACCATAAGCATGCAAAAGTAACCTCTCCGCTCACAACCACAGTGCAGGGACACCATGAGTCACCAGAGAAGGACCAACCCAGCCCCAAGAGCCCTCGTGAGGACCTGGGTACACCATCTACCCAGGCCTCCCAGGAGAGTTCCATGGTGGTGTACGGTCAGA